GATTGGAGATCCACTTGTCTGAAATGGTATAGACTCTCCTACTCAATCGGGGAATTGGACTAGATGACCTCCAAGATCCTTCCAACTATTCTATTCTATTGTATTCTATTCTAATTATATCACACCATATCACATCATATCATATATCATATCATATCCTATTCACATCATTAGCCTCTACACCCCCGTAAGAAATCTAAGTTCAGCCCTCCCTTGAAGTCTGTTGACTCTTATCTATTACCTTTGACCGTTAGTAGTTCGGATTCTTTTTGAGTGTTAGCATGCAATAAACCTGTAGTCATTTAAACCACCATGGCTCCTAATTTTTTGCACCTGATATTAAGTTTCCTCGTGTCAGAGTTTTGCCATTGCTGCCATCTGTGGTTTTTATTTATTTTTTAATTTTGCAATCTAGCCTGCATTCCTCAGATTTACTGGCGGTTTTCCGTCTGAATCTTAACCTAGCTCCCTTCCAAAAATCAATATTGCTTATATGTCAAGATCAGATTAAACTAGACATACCAAGTTCCCTCAACTGAGATTCCATTTGCATTAAAACCAGATTAAATCTTCTTCCAGTTTCTTCATTAGCTTCAGGGAGCCCAGATTATGAAAGAATGGCATTCTTAAGGACCTTGGGGGGTGATGGAGGAATTGAGACAATTACAAAGCTTGAGCTTAATCAGCTAGTTATGAACTTTTGATGAGGAAGCTAGCTATCAGGAGACAGATTTCCAACTGTGAAATAGAAAAGTGAAGTACACAACAGTAGCTTCTGTTCCCTTAAATTGACTGTTATTTTATCATTATTTTGCTATCCCACAAAGCATTTGGGATTGAGGTTTTTTGTAATATTGGTTGCATGGATGCAGTCAAGCAATTAAACACACCATGGCTGTTCGTTTATAGTATTATAATCAGCTTTTCTGTGAATTCAAAAGGCAGTTGAAGTGGCCAACATCTAAAGCTGTCCGGCCAATGGAAAATTCACCGGGGATGGATAAAGCCAGATTTAACACAGACTTTAAATTAACAGAGCCCTTTTCAAAAAATCTTAAATACCAGGCACAGCAACAACTGATGTCATATGGAATGGTTACAATCCAAAGGTGGATTTTTTTTCTCTCTCTTTTTTCTTTTTCTCTTTTTTTTGTGCTGCATAATCTTTACTCTAAATAGTAGCTAAGTTCTCAAAATAGGAAAATAAATAATGCCAAAGTATTTACAGTGGCAAAAGTTACACACACACAACACATGTGCTGTATATGTGTGTTTGTATGTGCATCTTGGTTACAGATATAAGAATTTGCAAACGTCAAATAATATATATTTCCCCATGTACATTGTATGCGTGATTTTTGACATTTTTACTTTAGAAAATAAAAAGAAACAACTTTTAAAAGCACTACATGATGCACGTGGTAGTTAGGATTATTCACCAGTTGCCTTTCGTTTCAACCGGGCTACAAATGAGATAAATATAACACCATCGAGGAGTAAATTTGAAAAGTATCAAGATTAAGGATGCCAACTTGTGTTGGATGCAGAGGGAAGTGAAACAGACTCCTTTCCACATCTGTCTCCCTATAGAGGTTTCCACTGCCCATAGGGCTGATACTCAAGGCATATGGATATTGTAGTAGAAAACATCCAGAGTCCCTGTAGCCCAACAATGTATTGCCACTGAGGACAGCTGGGTGAATGTAGAAGTGTGAACAAGCAGGAGGGGATTCTTTTATCCCCCACAACAATTGTCTCCTGGAAATTAGAAATCCCAATAACGATGTTTGATTCTATCTCTCTGTCCATTCGTCTGTCTGTCTATCTATCTATCTATCTATCTATCTATCTATCTATCTATCTATCTATCTATCTATCTATCTATCTAT